TATCACATGTCAATGTGCTGGGCTTAAATTAGCAACAGAAGGAGCACAGCAGCTGCATTTAGACAGTGTTCCCTACTAAGAACAGGCCATATAGATGTGTGAGGGATTTCATTCAAATGTACAATAATAACAAAACAGCTGCAATTCTTATAAAACACACTTGACGAATGAGAGAGAAAAGGATGGTGTGTTGTGTAGCCTTTAACATGAGATCTTCAGTTCATAAGGGGCCTGTTTCACCAAATATACAAAATGCAAGCTGCAATAATTTCTTCTCATCCTAAATTTCAGACATTTAACTAATAAAAAACAAAACACCAAAGTAGTGAACAATTCATGAGCATGCAACCCTGCAGAACTTCCAAAAGCTGCACTTGTCCAAGCAGAGTAAATTTACAGGCGGCTTCTGTTACCTTGTCAGGTAGATAAAGACTAGCTGTGCTCGTAAACGTACACTTATAAAAGCTCTGAGTTATCAAACCTCTAAAACCTTCGACCCAATTATGAGTTAGCTGCTGCCACTCTTAGGACAGTTTGTGATTCAGTCTATCAGAGAAGCTAAATCAACATGGACAATACTTCTTAAACTTAAACTGAAAAATACTGAACATAAAGTAGCAGTTAGATGCATGCTGATGCTCACCTGGCTCCGTAGACGTAGAAGCAGTAGATGTGGAAGGTGAGCAGGGCAACCATGTCAGAGAGCAGCCAGAGGGCAAAGGTCAGGCCAAAGCAAGCTGACAGGCCACCATACCACAGGATCCCCTCTATGAAGGGAGACATCAGGTGGATGTAGCCTAGATGGAAACATGACAATCAAGGTGGAAGTCTGACCAGTGCACTGACAAGTGTAATGACCTTTGGAGGTCGTTGGGGCCATTAGTAGAGCTTTCAGTTCTATTTTCTGTATTTTTTTAGCATGAAAATGGTCAGATAATGGAGAGATTATCAGTACAATATAAAGCCCTGAGTGTGAGTACCTTTTGTTTGTTTTCAGTTTTTAAAAGATTAATTTTCTGGCATTTTGTGTAGTCTGATCTCCGTAACACACACTTACATCAGCTGCAGGCACCAGTGTGTTGGCTAACATGGTGATGTGGTTGTCTCTATAGAGCCACCAGATAAGCAACATGCCGAGAGACACATCCACCAGGAATGACACCACAATGTTGGCTTTCCTACAGAAAGACAGAGAGACAAACATAAAGGTATGAACAGCAGGTGTACTGTCACTTTAAGCAAAGGAAAGTCCATAACATCATGGAGTGTCTAGGTCATTTTTACAACCATCACCTCATGAACTGCGTGTGTCTGGTGGCTGGTTTCCGAGAACTGATTGTCCTCACGTTTTCAGTTCTGTAGCTGAGCTGAACACGGGTGGACAGCTTACTGGACAGGAAGTGCAGCAGGAAAAAACTGAAGAGCCTAAACGTAAATATGATAATGAAAATAATGATGGTGTTTAAAATGTGTGTCCTCTTAGTGTCTGGATTTGAGTAAAGACACAAATCAGATATAGATAGAAATCATTCTCATCTGACACTTATTGCAACAACTGAGACAATACAATTTATTTTTTTTTATCTATTGTAAACCTGATTAATACTACACTGACATCACTATTCTAACTCATTATTTGTTGCAGGTTCTAGAAGAGACACTGCTTATGTTTTTCATTATATATGTATATACAGTAGCCTATATCATTTTTAAAGAAACTAGTCAAATTCATAGATACTGAAAGCAGCACAAATTACTGTCTGTAACCTCCCACCAATCCGAAAACTTTAATATTAGAGTTGGTGTTCGGTTTTGGTTGTTTGTATTGGGATTTGTTGACAATAAAAAAAAAAACATATTTAATATGAGTGACCTTATCCATTAAATTTTCTCCCTTCTCACTGGATGTTACAGATCCAGGTTTATATGGAGAGCAGCCAGCTGATGAGCAGGCGGAGCAGTACGGACGCTTGTTTGAGCAGATCCACGATGATGCTGGCCTCTCGACCCTCAGACTGCCAGTGTGTTGACTTCAGTGGCCCGTCGTTGTATCTGTCCAGGAAGAACAGAGTCTGGCTGCGGGCCACAGTCCAGAACACCTGGACCATAGAAGAGGAGGAGCATGTTAGTGATACACATGACTACTTGCTTACATCAACCTGTAATCTGAGTCACTCTCATACATGGATCTTAGTCTGCACATCCTCTGGCAACATGTCATGTCACATTTTTATCATTTACATAAAATGAGAGGCAAAACTTTTAGCAGTTTATATTTCATGCAGCATTATTATTCTTTACTTCAAGATTTTACTTCAAGATTTTATGCTGCAGTGTGGGTGGAAAAAACTAATTCAGCCAGCATTCCTGGGGAGAGAAAGTGCTCTCCATGCCCTCCTGTCCCTCTTTGGGTAACCTCCATAAGCCTGGCATGGACAGCTCCACCCCACTCTGGGCCTGCATCTTGGTGAAAAAGATGGAGGAGTGTGTTTAGGGAGGAGGAGAAACTAATAAAGTTTTTTTAAACTTTTGTACGTTAAGAAGGCAATTTTGGTTCATGCTGTACGAATTAAGTGAAAAGACATGTCATCCCCAGCTATCCTCTTGGAATAGGAAAAATAGGAGCAACTTAGGAAACATGTTAATAAGCAGGTTTTATTGTGCAGTGGATTTAACTTTTCTAAATGCAGATGTTTAGGAGAGTCCCTGAGGAGTCTGGAAACACCTTCAAAATGGCAGTGAGATTTGTTAAACGACCAGGTATTTATCTTTTGGAAATTCTGTTGCTTGGCTCTGTGACTAAAATGTCTTATCAATACAAGACAGGCACAAACTGGGGCTAAATTTACTGTAACCCTTATCCAGACCTGAGAGGCCACGGAGGTCTGTCCAGTGCTGCACTGACCTGTTGGATGTACTGTTTGACCTGTCCAGGGATGAACGATAGTGGATCACCACCAACACCACAGCAGAGTCATGGCCGGAGATCCAGCAGGCGACCAAAAGGCCACTGTCCGCCTGGTTACAGCACTGTGGGAAGAAGATCTTCAGCACCATGACTTCACAGCAGCTCAGTGTTCAGCCTCCAGCAGCTCTGATGATCTGAAAAAGAGCAAGGAAAAAAACAAGTCAGGGAACATTTAACTCGGCTGCAGAGAGTAGGGGGCAGCTAGTGCTATTCAATATTGATATTATTGTCCAAAAAAGCCATGAAAGACCAAAACCAATGATGTTTTAGTCATCTCTCCATACTTTCTGATTTTGCTACCCTGTTTGTGGCTCTCAGCTCCAAGCCCATTTTATTAGGAAAATGATTCAATAACTTCACTTTTAAAGAGTGTAGTACCATTACCTTAATTTCAACCACCAGGGGTCTCTAGTGGGTAAAACTTTAACACTCAGGGGAAATATGCTTCTCAACAATTTCCTCCAAACTGAGTGTTGTAGTATGATCAGCATGAGACCGTTAATGTCACATAGTATTGAAATTATTGAATATTTTTCTCCAAAAAAAAAATCCCCCAAACTATAAAAAAGGCATATTTCCCCAAACTGAGTGTTGTAACTTAGTTTTACCCACCAGAGACCCCAGGTGGTTGATATTAAGGTAGGCTAATAGTACTACACTCTATAATAGAGAATTTATTGAATTATTTTCCTAATAAAAATTCAGCAAAATTATGACAAAACTTATTTTCCCAAAGTGAGTGCTGTAGTATGCTGCTGAATATATGTCCAGCTTTACCGAAGTTGAATAGCCTCCGACTCTTTAGGTTATGTAGTTAATGTTAGCTGAATTGCCAGTAAGTTGTCAGGTAGTCACGAGCTCGGTTATTATGTGGTTATGCAATTAATGAGCTTATAGAATAGCCTATGGCATATGGTAAAGTTAGACTGTACACTGAATGAAATTACTACTCGTGTAACAAAACTTCAGTAAAAGAGGGATTACTACAGTTAGTTGGAGAAATAAATTCACCAACGTTACACACGCTAAAGTTAAGTTAGCTCTAGCTTAGCATTAACTTAGAATTAGCCAATGTTTCCTAATGATACATTTAGCTAAATACCAAAGTATTTTCATTGGAGTTGGTGAATACTTTAAGAGAGCTAGGTCTGTGAAAAACCGACTTACATTTGTCAGCCTGGACCACAACTCCAACAGTAACGTTACAGGACCTCAAAGTTGGCAGCTAGCTAACTGCTAACTCCAACTACGTAACGGTTGTGGCCAAAAGAAGAATAAACAGAGGTGTAAAATATTACTATCAAGAGTGGCCATGTTCCATTACGTGTACGAATAAGTCAGGCAGGAGGGAAAGCACACGCAATATAAGGGCCGTGGAAGTGACTAACCTAAATGGAACGCGGCCGTTATTAATAACGTTATGAGATACACCTGTGCTTTTCTTATGTCAAAATGGCTGCCATGAAAGTAGTCCATTGCCCAGCATTTTTGTTACTTCATTATTTTTTTAATATCCCCATGAAATTAATAAATGAGTATTATGTATAACAAATTAAATGACAAAGCAGTAAGTACAGTAATTTGCCTTGTGATTTAGGCTAGTGGCCTTCAGGGTCTGCTGTAGCTAGACAGCTTGATGCTACTAATGTCATTGTGAACCCGTGTTTTCTACATTTATTCCTATTTTGCGGATTTTTTTGTCTCTTAATTTCACTATAGGCCTGTAATGTTATTTAATTTTGCAGTTTTATTGTAAAGAAGCTTAATTTTGTATAAATGGCATCAATATTAGTAGGCTATACAAATAAAGTTATTTGTTTTTCAGATCATTTTATGTTAAACGAATATAAACGTAATATATTGACACATTTATATATTATAATTTTGCTGAATAAATTCATCCAAAAAATAACTTATTTGCAGGGTCATTTTTTGTTATTAATGGTGTTTTTTTTTTTCTTTCATGAGCGTGAAGTCCTTGAAATCAGGAGCTTCTGTTGAGCACCTGAACGCAACACGAGAGCACCAGCGTTGTGTAGAGAGGAGGAGACGGGAGAGGAGGAGGTGGAGGCAGATCGAAGAGAAGCATGAAGATTATCCCCAGTATCTGAGCTAACAGACGGGGAGAGCATTTCGTCCTCCCTCGCTCGTTCGGGGCCGACTGGAAGCGGAGGGAGGCAGCGGGGCTGAGGACAGGATGGAGGAGAAGAAGCAGTTTCTTTGTGGGGTGGTGGAAGGTAAGGGGCGGCCGACTTCATAACTGACCTCCTGTCAGATCATGTGATTTTTTTTTTCTTACCCAGCGGAGACGATTTTGAATAGACCACCGTTTGACCTACATTTCAGCATCGATTTATCACTTATTGTAGGCGAAGGGGGGCGTGGGAGTGGTAATATGTGTATGAACACTGACGTATAGAAGAATGTAAAGGTCTTTATGAAAGGATGTGGTATAGTGATTAGCCAGGCTTGAAGTGGGGATCAAAGAGCAGGCGGTGGAAATGATTCAGTAATGTCTGGTTCCAAGGCTGCAGGCTAAGGAAAGGAAATACTCTGCATGATGACTGCTGCTAATGAAGTTGATGTGATGAAATGTACAATAATAGTGAAGGGGAAGATAATAACTGAGATGTTATGATGACTGGAGACTGTAGATTTTGTTGGGATGACAAGACAGTAGTGAGGATGATGGAGATGCCGTGACAGAGGATGTGAGGAAGAACACTACCAACCAGTGATGATGATAATCATGATGAGACAATAATAGACAATAATAGAAAAGAGAAACATTTGAGGGCCCCAATAAATGAGAAAAAAACAGTGAAGAATGCTGATGATGTTGAAAGTGATGGGGATAATGGTGATGATGATGATGATGAGGACAATGATGATAAAGGACAAGAGAGGTTAACCACAACACTAGCAGTGGCAATAGTAATAACATTAATAAGAATGACAAAGCAGGATACAGACAAACGATTGCAGAAAATGGTGAACAAGAAGTTGATGACATACCTGTCCGTTCACCCACCCTCTCAATTCACAACCACACACACACAATATGAAGAAACAAATATGTATCCAGTTTTCTGCTGCAAGTATTGACCGTGACAATAAAACAAAAATATTGTTTTCTCTTTAATTAAATTTGAAGATTTATTTTTTTTACAACACAAACAGGCGGTAAACTAAATCTGTTAACATAATTTCTGTTAGTGTAACATCTTAATCTCAGCTATCAAATGATTGCACAATTATAAAAAAAAATATGCATATTGAATGCCAACATTTGTTGCCTAATATATGTATTGTGTTGAGTGTGCAGTGGAGATAATTACGTAATTGTCCAAGTGGACAGAAAGGTGTCTTGTCAAAACTGTCGGTAGAGGTGAGAACCGATCAATGTGCTGCTAAAATGACACAGAAATGTACCTGTTGTCTTTGTAAGGTCTGTTTCATTGGAAATAAATCTATTAATTACGGATATGAACTGTCGCACAGTGGTGAAATCGCTCCATCAGTCCAAAACATCAAAATATCTAATTCACAGTGAGAGACAGAGAAGAAAAAAAAAGGCGGGACCAGCATTTCTTTTCATTTAATGACTTAAATGATTGTTTATTATAAATTTGTTTCAGTTAAACTGTGCAAGCGCTGATCTGTTTGTCCACCGTCTCAACTTTCCAGCTCTATGCCTATTAGAAAATCTGGTTTCACAGCCCATTGGGGTGTGTTTATCATGGAAATTCATGTTGAAATATTGCAGCTCTAGCACAAACGCAAAGACACACACCTCATTTGCAACCCCTCGAACCTGTGTGTTTCTCACTCCCATGTGGTGGCATCCAGCAGAGATAATAATTAGGTCTGGCTTAGTGGGGAGCACTCTGTAGGACACTCACATGTCACACTCATGCACACAGAAAAACAGACTCCCCGTATGCATACAGGAGAACAGTCTGAATTGTTCGAGGATCAGATTTATTTCTCACTATGACCCACTTACTGTACACACACACACATTTGCGCACACACACATTCAAAAAACACAAAGGAGGGAGAGGGACACTGAAGATGCTCCCATTTCTAAAAATAGAAAATGTGATAGAGAGTGTAGCTGGAGATGAATTATGCCTCTGCCAAACACGGAGCGGGTGTGACCAAGTAAGCACTGGGAGCCTTGCGTCCTTTTATATGTGCCCACACTGTTTCCAGGAGCTGATTACTGTCCAGTTAGTGATTAATTGTTTCACAGCTTGGGACTTAAAATAATACAGCTATATAACGACATGATGAGATACAGTTCATGCTATGGAATGCAATTGTACATAATCAGTGATCATATCTGTTTGAATGTAAAAAGTGTGGGAAATTGGGCTAACATTATTTTTCCTGTGCAGGTTTCTATGGGAGGCCTTGGACTATGGATCAGAGGAAGGTTCTCTTCCAATGGTAAGTCTGTAACCACTCTTTAAAGCAGCTTGTAGACTGTAATGAACCTGGTGTCTGCATGTACTGTACAGTATGTGGGCACAGGTGTTCACGCATATGTCTTGTTAGCCTGGTCAGAGGGGATGTTTTTGTGTGGCTGTTCTTCACATGAATAGCGTGAACTCAGGAGCCACTGACTTGACGCCTGTGGGCTAAATCCAGTTGCACGCCTCTATATCAGTGCCAGGCAGACCTGAGAGGAATCACTGGTGCAGAACGACTCCGTAGCAAAGGGCAGGCTCATCCTCAGTCCTGAGGCTCAGCCAGGGATGGCAGACACTGCATTTTGTGATAGTGGAAGGAGAAAAGGGATCAATGATGGGATGCAGGTCATTTGATTGATAGATGTTATTTTAGCCATGCTAACAGTGTGGCTGTAAGGATGTTGCTCTGACAGTTAGTCGGTCTACCACTTTGGTCCAGACTGAAATATCTCAACAGCTATTGGATGGATTGCCATGAAACATTATATGGACATTCAGGGGGCAGTTCACCCCTGAATCATAAATACATATATTTCTTCTCATCTGTAGTGCTCTTTGTCAGTCTAGATGGTTTTGGTGTGAGTTGTTGAGTGTTGGGTTATCAGCTGTAGAGATGTCTGCCTTCTCTCTAATATAATGGAACTAGATGGCACTCAGCTCGCAGTGCTCAAAGCCCCCCAAAAAATACATTTGAAAAACTCAACAGCAATATCTCTTTCCAGAAATCATGACCTGGTTACTCAAGATAATCCACAGACCTTGTTTCATGTAAGAGCTATTTTATCTCTACTAAAATACAACCCCCAACCGTATCGCCGCTGGGGTCGGGTACCGCTCACATTTGAATCGATTATGGTAGCGGTTACGTGAATTTGGCACCTGTATCTAATGGTAGCTTTTCCAGTACTTTACTTTCTCAAACAAAAATGTAATTTTTAACCAAGCTGCAGGGGTGACTTAATTGACTAAAATGCAACTCCGCTCTCCTCTGCTTTTTTAATCACACACACAGAGCTAATCCTCTGACTCTCTGCTTGTCTAGCAGTGATACTAGGATATTACCAAAATACTTATGAAATAGAAAAAAAGACCAGACCTGGAAACTATTGTGGCAGATCAGCGCTACAGCGATAGTATTGGCAGCTTTGGGGCACTTCCCCCTCTTGTCTGAAATTGAATCCAGTGGCTCCATAGAGCCCTGTTGCCGGCCTTGAAGCTCCGTGGTTGGCTTTCAGGCTTTGGGGTCCTTTGAGGCACTCCCGCCTTTCTCAGAAAATGATATTTGGTAAATACAGATTTCACGTAAATCAGTACTTGTAGTACCAACGTAATTCGATAAATACCCTTAAAAGTTCTGTGTTTGTGCCCCAACCCTAATCACCACATAGAAGGAAGTGTGCATCTACTCATAAATTGGAGGCTTGTGCTTGTGATAGCACAAGATGTTATCATTAATGGCAGATGCAAACTTCATTCTGTGCAATGATAGAGTTGGTGGGTGAAGTACGGTAGACACAAAATAGTTCCTACATGAAACTGCTCACAACATGATCTGTGAATTATCTTGAGCAACTGGTCCATGATTTCTGAAAATAGACATTGCTGTTGAGTTTTTCAAATTTATTTTTTGGCCGCTTCGAGCACCACAGGCCGAGTGCCATCCACATACATCATATTTGAAAGAAGGCAGACATCTCTATGGCCAATATCGCCCACATTCAGCAACTCACACCAAAACAATCTGGACAGATAAATACCACTACAGGTAAGAGGAAAATTATGTAATGTAGATCTGGGGGTGAACTGTCCCTGTAACTTTTTATGTAGTGCCATCATCAGGTCTAAATGCCTATCTATTATTTATTTTTCTAGTTCAAATTTCCAATAAAGCACAGCCTCTCGAGCTGGAGTTCCACACTTTTTAATGTTAAGTTACTTAAAGTTTGTCCATCGAAAAGCATCTTAAAAGATGACCATGGGTCACTAAATTCTACAGTATATTTATACCATCCTCATAGCCTTTACAGAGGGAACATTTTGCAGTGACCGTGGTTCTTTATTTAGCATCGTTTTTTCCATGCAGAGACCTTCACACCAGGGAGCTGCGCAGCACAACCACACTCTTCAGATGTTATCCATTGTAGTGCCACAATAGACTCTCTTCTGCAAGCACCATGACAATGTAAAACGTGTTTAAAAAATCTACATCCAAGCTAATCAAATATTCTATACAGTGTGAGTACTCCAATAGACAGTGAGCCAAATCAAGTCAGCAGGCTCATGAGCCAAGTCTCTCTGAATCTTGACTAAACAAAACCAAGGCAGCGCCTTATTGAGACTGTCACAACAGTTCCATCAACACACAAAGAGACACAAGCCCTTTCAGCTTGAATCAGCTAGCAGTGATTTCCATGACCGTGAACTACAGTAGGATACTGAAAGATCATGACCAATGGAGAAAAACACAGAGAGTGCCATTTAAGGCATCAGTAGCCCATTCATAATAATTACACTGCCTGGCCAAAAAAAAAGTCACCACCAAAAAAAAGGTCATACACTCTAATATTTCGTTGGACCGCCTTTAGCTTTGATTACGGCACGCATTCACTGTGGCATTGTTTCGATAAGCTTCTGCAATGTCACAAGATTTATTTCCATCCAGTGTTGCATTAATTTTTCACCAAGATCTTGCATTGATGATGGTAGAGTCTGACCGCTGCGCAAAGCCTTCTCCAGCACATCCCAAAGATTCTTAATAGGGTTAAGGTCTGGACTCTGTGGTGGCCAATCCATGTGTGAAAATGATGTCTCATGCTCCCTGAACCAGTCTTTCACAATTTGAGCCCGATGAATCCTGGCATTGTCATCTTGGAATATGCCCGTGCCATCAGGGAAGAAAAAATCCATTGATGGAATAACCTGGTCATTCAGTATATTCAGGTAGTCAGCTGACCTCATTCTTTGAGCACATACTGTTGCTGAACCTAGACCTGACCAACTGCAGCAACCCCAGATCATAACACTGCCCCCACAGGCTTGTACAGTAGGCACGAGGCATGATGGGTGCATCACTTCATCTGCCTCTCTTCTTACCCTGATGCGCCCATCACTCTGGAACAGGGTAAATCTGGACTCATCAGACCACATGACCTTCTTCCATTGCTCCAGAGTCCAATCTTTATGCTCCCTAGCAAATTGAAGCCTTTTTTTCCGGTTAGCCTCACTGATTAGTGGTTTTCTTAAGGCTACACAGCTGTTCAGTCCCAATCCCTTGAGTTCCCTTCGCATTGTGCGTGTGGAAATGCTCTTACTTTCACTATTAAACATAGCCCTGAGTTCTACTGTTGTTTTTCTTCGATTTGATCTCACCAAACGTTTAAGTGATCGCCAATCACGATCATTGAGGATTTTTTTCCGGCCACATTTCTTCCTCGAAGACGATGGGTCCCCACTATCCTTCCAGTTTTTAATAATGCGTTGGACAGTTCTTAACCCAATTTTAGTAGTTTCTGCAATCTCCTTAGATGTTTTCTTTGCTTGATGCATGCCAATGATTTGACCCTTCTCAAACAGACTAACATCTTTTCCACGACCACGGGATGTGTCTTTCGACATGGTTGTTTAGGAAATGAGAAGCAACTCATTGCACCAGTTGGGGTTAAATAACTTGTTGCCAGCTGAAAGATAATCGCCCATACAGTAATTATCCAATAGGAGGCTAGTACCTATTTGCTTAGTTAAATCCAGGTGGCGACTTTTTTTTTGGCCAGGCAGTGTATAATCTCTATAAACAGATATCTGCATATGAATGCAGAATCTGTAGACCACCGGACAAGATTTTGTTATCAGAAGTGTTCTGGTTTCTGGAGTTGGTTTGTGCTCTGAGTAGTATTAACCAAGCTTTGGTTGCATGCAAGTAAATAGGCGATGTGGAGGGTGAAAAAGGTGGAATGCATTGGCTGGAATGCAATCTGGGAACTTATTTGCTATTGTTTGACGATGATTAAGATTTTTATTAGCTTTTTAAAAATGTATTTGCATTCATATTCACAGTTTTACATATCATCTCTCAACTCCAACCTGGACTGCAAACAGTGATCGGTGCATGGAAGAGGAATTATTGGCCCTGATATCTCTTAACCAGATACACCAGAACCCCTGAAATATTGCCCCTTACCCCCAAAGGTGAAATCATCATCAGACCAATAGCTGATGGGTTCCCAGACTGTGAAAATTCTAACATAAACATACTTATAATGGGATCTAGAGTGTGTCAAATATGAATTGATGCACTAAAAAAGGATGTGCCATTCCCTTTTCATGTACAGTTATATTACCCCATGTGTATACCTCAAAGTTAGTAAGGGACCAATTAATTGTTGATGGCACACTGATCTTACAAATGAGTGAAGCGACATAAATCCCTGCTGGGAGCTGTGACACAGTTTTGAAGTTCAACAACCAATAGTGACAGCCGACTCCATCCCAGGAGATAAGTTGTTCCCTCTGCTCTCTGCTTTCCTCTGCTCTTAAGTATGCAGACCAAATGATTAAAGCACACTGTTTCTGTTCTTACTCATGTTATGATAAACTGTATAATACATATGACAAAAACACACAATCAGTAACATGACCATGCTACTAAAATGTGTCCTTAAACATTATTGATTTTCTAGCGATAGATGCTTTATTATGAGGTTGAAATGGACTTAAGCAGCTAAGTGTGTGGGCTCCAGGTTTATTTATAGATCGGCTTTTGTTAGACTCAAGTGTGGGGTGCAGGCAAAATTCATACAATGAGCGTTGCATAAGTTTGGCAGACTGGGCCTGCGCATGTGTGTACAGTAGGGAGCGTGTGTATGCATGTGCGTATCTGATTGTGTGTTTGAGGGAGGTAGGATGCATCTTTGTGGAGGCGACTTACATACCATCTGTCCAGGAAATGAAGCAGGGAGAGAGTGAGAACATAGTCCACCCACAAATGACAAGGATGATAAGAGCTGGTTCCTGTCCAGAGAAAGAGAGAGAGAACGATATTCATGTTTTTGTGTGTGTGATGCAGCTATTGTTTCACTCCTAGTACTATGCTCTATTTATAATTCAGGAGGTCATTTCCTGTAACTGTAACATGGAGCCCCACGATCGATACAGTGGATCTATTTTCTTGGTGCTTGTTGTTTTTCTTTTTTTTTTTCTCCTCTCCTTCTGTCCTCACCTCTCTCTCAGCTCCTCCTTTCTCTCTCTCCAGGGCTCCTGTATCATCAGTCTAGAGCCATGGCTTCAAGCTGTGGAAAAGATGGATTAAATATATATATAATAGATGAATATACAAAGTAATAGATTACATTTTCAAAGCATTTTAAAAAAGTGATGTTCAGAATATAAAGAATTTTTACCAAATTCTTGCACTCAAACAAAAAAATAACATTTTAAGTTGTCAAAAAGTGCTTCAAATAGCAACTATTAAAAAAGCTCACTGAAAAAATAACATTTTTCCTCTTGATTTTTTTTTCTTTTCCACCTTGTTGCAGATTTACAGATTTAGTAATGAAATGACTCAAACCAGTACTTCAGTAAAACGTGTTCTCTCCTCCATGTCTCTTTGTGCCAGGATGCAAAGTTGGGGATTGAACACCTACTTGTACGGCCCAAAAGATGACCTCAAACACAGACTGTTGTGGAGAGAAGTCTACTCCCATGAAGAGGAGGGTAAGAACCTTCCATTAACCCATCTGGTGTATGAGTCCAACAAACCTTGGACTTTCACCCAGGAGCCAGGTGTTTGCTTACAATGTAATGCCAAACCATGATGTTTTTTTATGTAACCTAACCACATGCTTTTGTTGAAAAACCAAGTGCTTTTGTTGCCTAAACCTAAGCATGTGCCTTGTTGACATCCCAGCATTGGTTGTGACGTCCCGGAACATCAACGGCACAGGCAGGAAGATACCTAGCGCATAATATGTACATGTGAAGCGGTGATATGTGACAACTTGGGATGAAAACGCGTTGGAGTTTTTGATTGTTTTTATGATGTGCTGAGTATTGCAATAACATGTATTACGATGTACTGCGATTTACCACCTTATTTCCAACTGCAAATTATGTTAAACTTTCTATTCTTTCAAATAAGATAACATTTTCAGTCTGTTCACCTTAATTCAGTCATGTTTGTTGCGACCAAATGTATCTACTGGACAGAAAAAGCAATTGATTTTATTATTCTAGTAGGCCACCAAATTTTTACTTTGTAGTTGCAATTATTATAATTTATATAATAAAAAGATAGATACTTGGTGATCGTGAATCAATACAGTCTTGCCACACAAAATATCAAGACTCTATGCTGTATCTAGACAGAGACAATCTATCTATTAACAGTCTATCTATTCATCTGTCATCCACCCGTGTGTGCACACAAGTTTGATCTACATCCAGTCTGATAAATTGCCACAGGTGATGTCACTTGAGACAGCCTGACTGCAGACTAGAGTCTCCCTTGTTTTAGATCTAAACTGCCCCAGGACATTCTGTCTTCCCAGAGGGTCAATACTCACTGTCCAATATATAAAATTGCCTTTTTTGATATTACGAGTAAATTTATAACCATCCTAAAAGATGTCAGCAAGTTTAATGTTGCCCATTATATTATTTTTATAGTACCCTAGAAGACAGTGTGGCGTTAGTCTGGAGGTATTTGGTCATTTAGAGCCAAGATGAATTTCTTAAAGGATCACAAAGTCTGGTGGTGTTAGCATTCTTAGACATCTGTACAATCATAGTTCAAATATCTTTGCAAACATTTGACACAGTGTCTCGTTTTAAATTTCAAAATTCAAGATTTTCCTGCTCCTTGCTCTCAGGTCAGTTGCGCACTCTCATAAAGGAGGCTCAGTCGAGAGGCCTGAGGTTTGTTTACGCCCTCTCTCCTGGTCAGGACATCGTCTTCTCTTCTTCCTGTGACCTGACACTACTCAAACGCAAGCTAAGACAGGTGTGTGACACAACAAGATAATGAACACTACAGGAGTGTAACTTTTTATCATCTAAGCCTCTGTTTTTTCTCTTTCTCTCTCCAGGTGTCAGACCTGGGTTGCCAGGCATTTGCCATTCTGTTTGATGACATCGATCACTCCATGTGTCAGGCTGACAGCGAGGCCTTTTCTTCATTTGCTCATGCTCAGGTCACTGTAACCAATGAGATCTATCGGTACTTGGGGGAACCACCTGTCTTCCTTTTCTGCCCCACAGGTAGGAGGGCTGAACTAAGGTGAACTGTAATGTTTGTGGTCTACAGAACCTTATGAAACTTGACAAATCTGATGAAATATACCTCTTTTTCACTCTCCCTGTAGAGTACTGTGGTTCTCTGTGTTCTCCCAGTGTATCGAAGTCTCCCTACCTGCAGACTGTTGGAGAGGACCTGCTGCCCAACATAACAGTAATATGGACAGGTGAGACACACACATACACACACATATGTTAGCATAAATATGAAATCTATAAATGACTAACAAATTGATTTAACTTATTATAGTTGATAAAAAGCAAACATTTAAACCGTTTTCTTTACTACATAGTATAACGTGGCTGCATTCCTGCAGACATAAACCAGAGTCATTCCTTGTTTTCTGTTTTTTAGCCTCATTAGTCGACCTGCCGTCTTTTGGCTGATAACAGGACACACTAACAAATGCATATGGCATGCAAATAAGTGCAGACATAAATACACCCACAGCCTCCTCCAAAGACCAAAAAACATTTTAGATTCACATCCACCCACACCATATGGAAATACAGTAGAAACACACACATGTGGACACACATTATCTACTCTCTTTAAGTTCTTTAATTATGTTAAGCTATTGCCACTTTTTAATTGTACCAGTATAGTTTAAGACTTTGTTGGTAATGTTACATTGTGAGCTACAGCTTTTTATGCCTCTTTCTCAACATTACTGCTGACATAGTCAAATATGATAGCAGCATCATGTTTCACAAATGATTGGTGCTTGAAAATTAAATTGTGAGCCCTATGGGGGCTCTTGAATGCTCATTCATGGTTCCCCAGAATGGTTTCTGGTTTTGACGAGTGAAGTGTGTCCCTCCAACATCACCCCTGATGTCCAAACCAACAATAAATTCCATTCTGACAGACAGTCCATTACAGCCTGAGCATACAACTGAGTATCAATTATAAAGAGCCTTTACAACCACCTACCTCAGTGGAGCTCCTAAAATTTACCTGAAAAGAGACAAAAAGAAGACAATTAAACTATAATTAGCAACAGTACATAAAAAGTCTGTGGATTCCATGGCAGGTGCAGCAAGCATTATGAAGCTGCTTCTTTTAGAGTCAGCAGTAGGATAAAATATCCCCAGGGCAACAGCACAAATGTACACCGCCACAGCAACTGACACCACAAACACACATATCAAAGCAAAAAGAGAAGGTATAATGTCCAGGGTGTCAGCTGAGCTAGCATGTGATTTTTCTTTTTATTCTATAACGGATGCAGCTTGAAATGTGGCGAATTACAATCCTTGTTACAAAAAGTATTTAAGTAAAATTAGTGATCAGTATCCTGTTGTCTCCCTCAGATTCAGATGTGTGTTTCTCAAACCTTAAGGCTTTCACTTGTCCCCTTAACTCTTGGTCCCACAGGCAGTAAAGTAATCTCCAGGAAACTGTCTGCAGACTGCCTGGCTGAGGTGGAGTCTGTCCTCCAGCGCCCCCCGCTCATCTGGGACAACCTGCACGCTAATGACTATGACTCCAGACGTCTCTTCCTGGGGCCTTTTAAGGGCCGAGAGCCTCAGCTGAGGAGCCACCTGAGAGGCCTGTTACTCAACCCCAACTGCGAGTTCGAAGCCAATTACATCCCTTTGCATTCGCTGGGGAGCTGGTACAGAGCTGGAAAAGAGGAGAGGAAAGGTGAGGGGATGGGCGGAGGAAAAGGATTAATGAGCAGCTGCAAGGGAGGAGGAAGCAGCAGTGATGAGATAGGAGATGTCCCGAGTTAATAAACTAATATTAGCTCTGCCAGACCAGAGCCATGTACAGTAAGTCCCATTGCTTCCTGGAGAAATGTTTAATAAGCCAGTGTTGCTTGGCAACTAACACAATTTTATCTAACATTATTTAAAAATAAATTAACTTGTAGGAATTAAAGCTCCATCTGTTGTCCTGGACAAAGTTACTCAATAAGCCTTCAGCTGTAGTTACACAGGATAAAAATATTCCCCTAATACTGAGTTGCGCATTTCAAGATTCAAGATTATTGGATTTGTCCTTGGGGAAATTTGCCACATAAAAATACATAGTGCAGTAAGAGACATAAAGTCCATTCAAATACTAGCAATGCAGCCCCTCATTTCACACCCTCCTTATGTCCTGAGTTTAGGAGATTGGAACCCTATAGCCCTTAATTCTATCAGTACTCATCTTCTTTCAGAGCCAAGTGGATGTATTTTCAGAAGTATTTGAGATGAAGCTCTCAGATGCATTTATATTTCACACAAAGTGCATATATTCCTTACCGTGTACTGTACAACTGTGTCAAAGCTCTATGATAGCTGTAATAACTCTTGCACCACCTTATTTGACATTTGGTTTACATTTATTGCATATAATTTTCTGTGACAGTCTAATACATGAGACTACTGCCAGAAAGAGAAAGCAGAAACAAGGGAGCTGGATGGAAAACTGTAGGAGAGGAAACCACTGTAGCGTGTGATGTTCTGAAGACGAACAGGGAGAGGTGGTGATGAAGGAATAATTGTACGGTGTGATGAAGGGAAGAAATGAGAAGCGAGGAAAGTCCCTGTGTGGAGGAGAAACAAGGTGGAGGGCTGGAGGAGAAATGGGCTTCAAGGGAGGGGATGAGAAAAGAGATGAAGGGCAAGCTGAGGCCTGTGATGTGGATGGAAATGGAAGAGGAATTTTAATGATTATATGAGAGGGAGGGGGAATGGGGAGTGGGAAGTGTGTGAAGTAACTGACAGATTGTTTTTGTGTGAGAGGGATCTAACTTTAATATTAGTGATGCTAGTCATGTTTTACTAAAGTAATATAAAACAGGAACCATGTCTACTTCCTGGAGTTGTAAGAATTATAAATAAGAGTTAGGATCAAAGTTTAAATTAGACGTGTGTAATTGTGTTTTTATATTCAGCATTCAGACATCAAACTGAAGTTGATCTCCTTATGTTATATCCTGTATGATTTTGTATGTAACACAAAACACTGCAAAACAACCTTTGTTGACGTAGCTTGCATGACTGGGTTATTTTTATTGTTTTTGATGCTGGGTTTTGACATGACATAATACTGTGTTTTTTCCATCTTAAGTCCACAGTAGCAAATGTCATGTTTTAGTGTCAGTCCTTTAGAAGCTAAAATGTGTGTATGTTTTTTTTAGTAATACATAAATATTGCAGATAAAAGCGAGGTATGAGTCTAGTGTGTGTGGGGAGGTTTGTCCACTGAAACATGTCCAGCTGGAATAAACATTGCAGACTGACTTTGACAGGAGTTCTCTCTACTGTGTACTGTATGAATGTGATTAATTCAGTATCCTCCTATGTAATAATGCAGTGTTGTTTATACCCTAGATGAGGAGTGTGAATACTGTCCTGATAGAGCTCTGTCTGCTGCACTTCATGATTGGATGGAGGAACTCAACCAACCACTACAAGCAGGTAGAGAATTAAGAAAAATCCCACACAGACCCACAGTTAACACGTTTTCTGTCACCCAGCAGTGGTCACTCAGAGAGGGTAGGCCAGGATTATGCATCACATTTGCTTGTAATGTGTGTGAAGCGGCATGCTGTTTTTTGCCGGTCTCTGCTAGCGTTGCAAGTAAACGGTAACTATGACCAAACAAAGAAAGAAAAGAGTGATGACTACAGACAATAAAACGCCAATAAACAAGCGCAAATCCTAAGAAACACAGGAAAAAACTGGGAAGTTAGATCCCAAAACACACCTGCAATTACAATTTATTGCCATAGATGCCACCAAAGAGAACAAAACGCAGATCTTCGGGATTGTAATTTTAATAACATATGTTTTTAAATTATTACAGGTCGTCAGAGCTCACGAGCAGACCAGCGTTCCTCCACTCCAACAACTCGCTGCAAAACACCTGACAGATCTGACTACTCGTCCACCTTCAGAGGATCCTCTGCCGTGGCCAAGCTTCCTGTTTTTCCCCTGAACTCAAGTTCACCTCCGTCGTCACCCACGAAGGTCAAGGGTGAGACGGAGGGACGTGATGGGGAGAGGAGAAGGTCAAACCAGCCTAGTCAACCCAATCACCAACCTCCAGGTTCCAGGCCTGGTGCACCCTCTGGTGGAGGCCGGGGTCAGAAGGCACAGGGTCTGGGGCTCTGTGGTGGGAAGGGTCTACTAAGTGAGTCCCAGGTGCGGCTGCTGGTTGGGCTTTATTATCTACCCCACGAGCATGGCCCATCTGCCCAGAAACTGCTGCAGGACTTGACCTGGCTAAAGGCAAACTGCCACCTGGTCAGCGCCAACAGCAAGAAGACAACACCTCAGAAGGTCAGTGTGTGTTTGTGTAGATTTATTGTTGAAGTGTGGAGTGTATGATCCTTTAATGTGAGTGTTTTCATACGTGTATGTGTGTTCTCAGATTGATGAGTGGCGCGGTCGGTCCTCCAGGGTCCTGTCCCTGTGTGAAGACATAGCACAGCTCCACTGCAGCGTGGTGGGTGGGGCCAATAGGGCTGTGCTCTATGACCTTTATCCTTACGTGTGGGACCTGAGGAACACGGCTCTGCTGGCAAAAGCATTCATATGCTGGCTGGGTGAGTATAAAGAGTAGCATGAAACTATGGGAATACAGAAAGTGTTTTACTTTATAGTCTTACTTTATACTATGTGATTCATACTGTCATACTATTGCTGTGCTGTATAATTCTGTCCTATACTAATAGAATGTAGTGGCATGCTCTTTCATAGAATAGTATAGTATAGTATAGTATAGTGCTATACTGTAACACAGTTCCCTGCTATACTGTGCTATAGCATAATCAAATAATCTAACCTCCCTTACCTCTCTTACTCAGATGGAAGAGTATTGAGTGACAGCTCAACTCTGGGCACCTGGAGGAACTGCTTCCACTGTGAGTAGGCATGACCATTTAACCATTCTTTGTCTCCCTAAACATTTATCTCCCTGAAATAACAAACTACAAGTAGCATCTGCTGCACAAATCTGCACAAATCATTCTTTTTTAGAGTAGATTCAGTCTGAAAGTTTCCCATGATTAATCCAGCTTTCAATCATTACATCACAGCACTAGCTCAGTGTGGTTCAGCAGATAATGGTGCAGCGAGGACTGAACCACACTGAGCTAGTGTGGTGTGGTTCAGCAGATAATGGTGCAGCGAGGACTGAACCACCAGTTGTGCTTCAAATATTTATAGCACCATCATAAAAACTGAAAAAAAAAAGTTAATTCCAGCCAGGATCTCTTGAGGAGCTGTAATGCTGTAAAACACTGAACTCTTATGCTGGCATTAATATTTAAAGTAGATTTAACTGAGCCCTCGTTTTTCCATCTACACTGGCTGTTCATTGGCCCTAACCACATGATGTCACCTGACTGACATTTGGTTCTTGCCTGTGGTAGGGTGTGGGAAGGCCTCAGGGGCAGACGTACTGGGAGTGGAGTCAGAGCCATGGGCGTTCAAAGGAGGGGTGTCTGGGGAGGTGCAGGTAGGGTGTTTGTATAACGTTTCGTTTGTCATAGATTTTGTGATTAAATCATCATGATTTTTATTGTGTACATGTGTGTGTTTGCATTCTTAAATTATCAATCATATATGACACTAAAGTTCAATCCTTTTATCACTAAATAACATCTTTGTGTTTGTGTGTGTGTGTGTGTGTGTGTGTAGATGCTTCTCCCAATAGGCAGCAGCAGTGAACTCTTCACTCATCCTCCTCCGCTCTTCCCTACCTCTCGTCTCTATAACATCAGGCCCTACCACAGCAAGGACAAGGTGGGAGAAGTCACTCCCACACATGTTATTGTTTCACACAGACTGCCAGGATAATTCATGGACTATCAGTACACTGTACAGTCACACAACCACTGTATCAGCTGCAAAACTTTAGCGTAGCTGCTGTGGAAACTACACAATTCACTTCTTTAGGGATAAAAAAAACAACTTGGAAATGAGCCAGGAAGGAAGAATATTTTTAGATCATGCATAGACGCTGACTCTAATGGAAAGTCATGGATGATTTATGGAATTTTCAGCCAGTGCCACATCAGAATCCTTATATGGAGAAATGCTGCAAAATTAAACAGTTTTCAAAGGACCCAGATTATTCACTCACCTGCAGGTTTTTAGTGAAACATTTACACACTGTTGTGGGAAACATATGGCCTAATAGACAGAGGCATGAAACCACAGAAGGATCATATATTTTAAAGGATTTTTTTGTATTTTGTACGTGTGTGTGTGTGTAGTTGGAGTTGTATCGCATGGTGCGCCAGCTCCACCTGAGGACTCAGGGCGGCCAAGAGTCCAGCATTGCTCACCCAGATGTCATAGGAGACAGGTATGTTTGAGAGCAAGAGAAAGAAAGAGGAGTTGAATATTTATCATATTGGAATACTACAATGTACTCACGTATTCGTTTAATAGTAATGTCTTCTCATTTCCATAGATGCCTCGGACCGTGCCTGGCGTTGTGCCCAGAGTACTGTTTCATCCTGGAGGATGAGCTGGGTGTGTGCGGCTGCGTGTTGGGCATCCTGGATGTTCGCTCGTTTGCCAAGCGGTGCCAGGCCAGCTGGATGCCTGCCATGAGGGACAAATACCCGCCCAAAGGGGGCAACACACACCCCAACACACAGGTGAATATGTGCACTTCATCAAACATCCTTTTTAAAAATCATACCTAGTCTGTCTTTCTGAAAGGCACAGCAGTGTAACAGGCAGCCACATAAAAAAAGACTTATGGACATACCCAACACACACATGAAATTATGCACACAAACATTTAAACATACCTGCAGCTACACCATCTGTGTCACCCTCTGTGATGAACTAATAACCCACAGGGAAGTGGGTGGCACACAGAGGTAAACAAAGCAAAAGTCACACAAAAACCAACAGATTAACACGCATACACACAGATTGGACTCCAGTCATATAATTTTTCCTCCTGATTGATGAGACATATTGAAATATTTACACAAATGTGTATACAGTAAAGAGCACCCATATTAGAGTGTCTTTGTCAGAAATGGGAGGAGACAACACCCTTGCTTACAGCGTCACTGTTGCTCATCACGACAAACAGTTGAGTGATCGCAGGCAGAAAGCCAAACAGAGCCCGCGGTGAGCAACGGGGACAGTCAGTCTCTGACATTTGTGGAGGACTTATCTGCCCACTCCGTGCGTCATGGTGCATGCTGACAGTCCCACTTTGGATGACTGTCATTCACACTGCAGCCACAGGTGTAGGAAGGTAGAAGCACGTATGGCATCTGTTCCTGCTTTATTAGACATGTGAACATAACAGCAGTATTTTATATCGTTAAGTCTTTCACAACTTATATTTTCCTTCCTCGTATCCCTGACTTTACCTTGAAATATGTTTTATGACTTGAAAACTAGGTAGAGAATACTTCTCTGCTTGCAAGGTCCATGCCAGGAAAAACTGCTTACCAGCGCCTCTAACAGGAAGTGCATTAGGCTAATCACAGAGGTCTATGTCTACAAAATAAAAGCTGCTGATACAGTGGCGACTCTGTTGATGATACAAGGCATTAAAGGTATGCTAAAAATAAATTCTGTGAAATTTTAATTTACGATGATCTTCATACTGTCTGGTAACCTGAAGGTACTCTAGTTTAGTTAGTTTCTATAAGGTGAACTCAGTCAAACATGACCCTTTAGTAACATCTAGTGGCAGCTGTTGGAAACTACAACAGCATAGGAATATGTATGGTGTATGCTTTTCCACAACCCTCCATCATACAAACACTGACAGGAAAACTATCCAAACATTTAAGATGAATAGGACAAATTTTCATCATTGTGTGAATGTCCTTGTGTCTCTGCTGTCCTGTGCAGGACCTGATCCAGCTGATGGAGGAGGACCAAGGAGAGTATCCAGACTCTCTTCTCTATCACTTCCCCTCTCAGCTGCGACTGGACGCGCTGCCTGAGCTGGTGGACATCAGCGTCAGCCGCACTCTACTCACCGCCCTGCTCACTGCACTTAAGGCAAATGGTAAGGACAGGGTTTCAAGTCATTGCATCAGTGTGGTTGTGTGTGTGTGTGTGTGTGTGTGTGTGTGTGTTTGTTTGTGTGTGTGCCTTATTAGCTTCAAACTGAGGAAACTCAATACAGTTAACCCTTACTTCTGACTAAATAAATGTATATCATACATACCTCTGAACTGTATGTAAAACACTGAAGATTGAAGGACTCTGTCGTCATTAGTAGCATCAGTGCTCACCAACTCGAGGCTAAGGGCTGAGCAGAAAAGCAGAAAAGGGGCGTCGGCAGGTTAGTGGATAGAGCACCTTTGCTGCATGTCATTCCCTCTCTTAGCCCCCCCCCCCTTCACGCTTAGCTGTTCTATCAATTAAAGGCAGAAATGCCCCAAAAAATATCTTAAAAAAAAAAAGAGCAGAAAAATATGGAGGGTTTAAGCAGTGTCGTAATAGCACTTAAAATTAATGCAGGCAGGGTCAAGCTGCCTGTAGATGTTGTCACACCATTAAATTAAGTAATTTTAAAATAATTATTTGCCAGTCTGCTCTGGAGCCTATAATAATCTGTGTTTTTTCCATGACAGGCTACGTCAGACTAACAGGTTGTGTGAGGTTAATTGTTTTTATATGAAGCGCTAGTGTTGTCAAAGGACTTAAAGATTGATTTATTGATTCATATTGACTCAGAATATTTGGAACAGTTTCAATACTAATTTTCTTCAGTATCTACACACCGGTATCAGCTGTGCTTTCTCACTCTCTCTTATTGTTAATGTTTACTATTAGTTATTATTATTATACATGTACTACTAGTGCCATCCATTTACCATTTACATTACAATGGTCATTTTGCTGTTCTCTGCCACTAACCAAGAAAGGGAAAAGTCGTTAATGTCATGTTAATGCAATTTTTAAGGATATACTATACAGGAATTTCCTTTAAAACAATATATGGACAGATGTAACCCTCTCCATCATCACTTATGACCCACTAGAAGTCTGCCACAGTGTATTTATCTGCAGAGACTCTGCTCCTTTTATTGCATCTGTGATTCATCTTTTAAATTCTCAGTATTTTTTTTAATTGATTTCATTGTTTTGATTTATTATCATTAGTTTCCTTTATTCCACCAAACTCCTTGGCATATTTTTATTTTTTATTTTTGATACTCATGTGTCTACATGCTACTTTATGTTATAGTATGTGTGCAAGGCAAGCTGTTCAAACAAATTGCACCAGGTGGGTTTAATAACATTGTCTAAATCTGAATCTCTGCCTGTACTTTCTTATTATTTTCTGTGTTTGTGCGTCTCCCCGCAATGCTAAGACGAGGTATGGGCTTTATAAAATGGTAGTAACCAGGTGCCAGACCGTAAGCAGTAGGCAAGAGACACAGCACTGAAAAAATGCAAATATAGCAAGGCAAAACGCCAAAAGAGAGTGAACCTGGGGTTATTTGCTGGTGAGTGTGTTTATAAACAGTAACCCACAATCCTGTATAGTATACCTTTAACTTGTATTTCCTCAATGTCAGTTTATCCCTGTGGTATTGATATTATATTGAATATCAATAATTTTCAAGGTATAACATTAGATAGAAATTCCAGTATTGTGACAGCGCAATGAACCACTGACTTTATTTAATGTATGTTGTACATTTTTGTATGCAGCTGGGGGCAAGATCCACATTTAACTACATGTTTCATGAGTATTCCTTTTGTGTGTGTGCAGGTTCTCAGGGTGTGTTCTGCGAGGTGCAGCCGACAGACCGTCAGAGGCTGGAGTTTTTGACAAAACTGGGCTTCCTGGAGATCCTCAGAGGAGAAGCCAGGAGCAGAGAGGGAGTGGTGCTGGGGAGGCTGCTCTGAAAAATAAACACACACACACACACATTCACACACATACACACCTCCAGACACACATTAAGCACTTGCACCCATACAGTAGATACACAGAGGCACTTGCACACACAGAAAGATGTTAGAAACACAGTATGTACAGTACAGTGTGGAGATGGCTAAGCTTTGCAAAGAAGCAGGATCCGTATTTTCTCTACCAAGAGAGAAAACCTCCTTTAAGGGACAATCCTGGATTCCTTTCAGTCTGTGTGGCAGCAGTAATGGGGATGAAACCAGAGATTTCTGAAGGATTTACAAAATATAATATAAGCTTTGAGTTTAAACCTTCAGCAGAGCCACGCTAATCTTTTTCGGATTCCACCCCTGGCTACGGATTACAAGAGTTAGTCACAAGTTACAAGGAAATCAACAACAGAATAGTCTGAGATTGGAGCAGAGCAGTAGATCACAGTAGCTACGTGGCACACGTGTCAATTTAATTAATATTTCTGTATTTTATATCAACTATGGGTTACGTGACTTATTGTATGCAAAAGGAGTCATTGAGAGTGATCATCCAACTCTGGGATGCCTCCTGGCAACAATTTAGCATCTTTCAGCTCATTGTTTTGTTTTGTTGTTTTTCCGACCCACTCTTCAAAGCTTCATATTTTTGTACAGACATAAGAGTGGTATTGATTTTCTCATGTAACTGGTTTAAGAAAGCAAATAATTGTATTTCACAGAATTTCAAACTATACCTTTAAGCTGACAGAGACTAATTCTCTTGATTTAAGGCATGATGTGATTTTGCCAAGTAGGTCATGCTCCTGGATCAACACCCCACATTGCGTTCCTGGACCAACACCACGATCAACGAATCACAGCCCTCTGACATCATCAGTGTGCTGCTCCTGTGCTTCCTTCAAAAATCCTAGTTTTCCAAATTGAAGTTAGTACAATTTAAAAAAAAATCCTCAGTAACACTGAAGAAAAACCATTTCAGTTACTGCTGGGTTAGCGAGTTAGCTTGCTAACTAGGTTGGCTATGCTAATGAGTAAAGCGAGTTAGCTTGCTAACTAAGTTGGCTATGCTAATGAGTAAACTTGCCAATAGATGAGAATATTGGCAGGCTAGCTGCTTCTACCAATAGGCTAGAATGTTAGCGGGCCAGCTTGCTAACTAGGTAGTTATGCTAACAGGTTAGCTTGCCAATAGATGAGAATATTGGCCAGCTAGCTTGCTAACTAGGTAGCTATGCTAAGAAGTAAGCTTGCCAATAGGCTAGAATGTTAGCAAGTTAGCTTGCTAAGTAGCTGCTAAGTAAGCTGTTCACTAACAAAGAGTCGCAAATTCCTGCAATTAACACATTTACAAGGTTTTTGTTAAATTTTATTGAGGATTTTGTTCAATTGTATTTACTTCAATTTGTAAAACTAGCTTAGCTCTGAAGAAGCACAAGGGAATTTTGAAAGAAGCACAGGAGCAGCATACTGATGATATCTGAGGGCTGTGATTGGTTGATTGTCATGTTGGTCCTGGGATGTGATGTGGGATGTTGATCCAGGAGCATGTCCTACTTTAGCTGTTAGCATCGATCTTATGCTCTGCTCCTTTGGTTTCGTTCATAAGCGATACTTTTTTTCTTCAAAGTTAGGATGTTGTGTTCTTGCTCCTGTCCTGTTGGTGAAATAAAGTCTGCTGACAGCAGGCTGAGCCCAGGCACAGCGTCACTGTTTACACTTGATTAGCATAGGTGAATGTTTACATGCATGAAGAACAAAACATTATGGAAAAAACAGAACATTCACAAAGTAGGATTACATTGACACAAACGCACATTCATAATTTCAATGGAATGCTCTAACATGGCGACATTACTGAAGATTTTTATTGGATTTTTCTCAGCCATTATAGCTATAAAGTCTTAGGAGCAAGTGCATGTATGCTAAAATTCATCTGAAAAAAGAAAGAAAAAACAACTAAAATCATCAAGTTTTTTTAGATTGTGCATGAATACAATCATGCAGACATATAACATGCACGCACACACACACACACACACACACACACACACACACTTATCTGAAGTTTACACTGGGTTCAATTGGATATTATAGATACCTCTCTCGCATTTCATTGTCAGATACTTTGAACATCACCAGTGCATATGTATGGTGTTTGTGTGGGTGTGCATGGTGTCTTTGTGTGTGTGTGTGTGTGTGTGTGTGTGTGTGTGCGTGTGCAAACATACCAATTAAGACAGCCATGTCATTCTGCCTTTATTCTGAACCATAATGAACACAAGCATACAAGCAGACACACACACTCACAGTCATGCTAAAAGAAGCACAACAGCACTCACAATCAAATCTTCGACTGAAAGTACGTAGAACTACGAATGTTCATTTTTTTGTAATGCAGCTTAAAAAGACACAAGTACTGTTTGTGCAAGTATTTATATTTCTACTTTTTTCTTTTATTATGCTCGATCAATCACAGACTGAGAGGCACTTTTGTATGTTTCATCCTGTTACCAGCCTCATCATCATCGTCTGTGAGGTAGTTCGTGATAAAAAAAATTTAGTCCCAGAACTATAACTGATGTAGACAGATAATAATAAAAACAATAATAAATCCTGAAAGCACTGAGAAAGAAATGCATGTTATGATGTTAAGAAAATTTTTAGATGTTATTGTTTATGACAGAATGTCACTTCACTTGTATGAAAAAAAGAAAAATAATCTTTTTAATATTTAATATTCTTCTGTTTTTTTGTTTGTTTTTTTACGTTAGACTGGGATTGTATGGTTTGTGTGTGAATGTAGACATGTGTGTGTTTGGGAATATAGATGCTGATGGGAAATACACACAAAAAAATAATAATTTACACAGGCAACATGAAGCAATGTGAAAAAAGACAAAGTCTAATAATGAACCACGGAACACCTCCACTTTTCATTTAAGCAAATTTCATAATAATAAGACTATGTAATAATAATAATAATAATAATGATAATAATGATAAGATACAAACAGTTGCCTTTAACTTCCAGGCCCAAGCAGCTGACCACTCCATCCATTTCAGAAACACATCACATGTGTACTCATTGTCTCTCTGTCTGCCTGCATTGAGGTACATGTCTGTTTTTACAATGAGTCCCAGTGGAGTGCTATGTTGTAGTATGTCTATGCAGGGTAATGAAGGGGTTAAAAAAATATTAACTGTCGAATTCAGTCTGTGTTTTTATTGACAATAACAGTTAAAACTGTCATTTTAAAAACAAATGATTTTATTGAACTGACTTGTTGATTTCATGCAATTAAAAGAAGTTTTCTTTCCCTTTAAATTGCTTTTTTATGTCTCTCTGAGTTAAAACTGACTCACTGGAATAAAACAAGTGGCAAAACTTTGTTGGAAATGTTACACATTTAATTGAAATGCTGGCTATGAATACAGAGGCTTATATAATAATTGAGATGCTCTATAAACAGCTTCAGCATTTAATATCTGAACATATATTGCCACCTTGTGGACAAAATATAGAGTGGCAGTTCCTCAAAGTGTTGAATCTATTTTTTAACAGTGTACTTACAAATAATCTATTTAGAAAACGTTTATAATATATTTAATGTGTTTCATCTAACTCAGACATTCAAAGTACTGATACAGTACGGTACAATACGTCACACATCAGTGCTCTTTCTCTCTTCAGCGTTCCCAGCTTCCCATTGGCTGTGGGAGCGCAGGTTATGTTCAGGAGCCATGACTTGACCAATAGGGATGCGATACTCTGCTACACTGCCAGTCTGCAGCAACATCAGTGTGGCTGTCAGAGTAGCTGCCCAACTGCATGCTGGGAGACCAACCTAGGGAAAGACAGGGGGAGAGAGTAAGAAATTAAAGGAACACCTCACTACCCCAATGACCACTTTTATATCAGTTACTCACCCTGTGTTATGTTGAGTTCATGAAGAAAACTTTGTTTTTCGCACTTGTCTCCACAGTGAACGAAGAATCCAAAAACAGAGAAAATTCTTGATGAACTGAAGTCTTAGGAGTCCATGTTTAACAACAGCAAACCTATATCCTCCTGAGACCCGAACTTTAGTTTGGTATGCATTTTGAATTCTCCTAGCTATTTGGGATTAGTAGGACCTGATAAGTATAAAAAACTAGACATTGTCAACAATGATTAAGTCCCAATTTCCTCAAACGTGACCATAATAAAGTCCCAGTGTCATTCAATGAGCTGATGATAAAGTCCCAATATCTTGAGTACTTTCTAAATAACGGCATCATAGCAGCTACCGTTGCTAAAATTGGTAAAGTTTTTATGGCATATCAAACTACAAACATTATTAATTATAAATAAACAAGTTTAAATCTGACTTGGCAGAGATGGCTGCCATCTTGTTTTTACACGGATTAGTGTATTGTGGTCTTACTGCCACTAGATGGCACAAAAAAAGTGTCCATAAACGAGGACAACACGCCGAGGTGAAGCAGAGTGAAGTATAAGGTCCAGTAAACTCCAACTGTAATGTCCTCATATGAGGACACGGGGTCTCAGGAGGATTTAAAAACATCTCTTCACTAACTCTCACACAATTTGTGCAGTATAATCCAAGTCTCATTTATCCATTTGTTTGCTCCAGTTAATCCAAACTAACCCTTTAAAGGTTTAAAAGTCCTACAATAACACAAACTGACTGACAGAGGCAGCAGCAGACCAACAGCTTCCATGCTCTGCGAGGTAAAATTACTGTTTTTGTCAATGGAGTCTGACTATGAAGAAAGCATAGATACGTTTCACTCTCTGTTCAGTTCACTGTTGAAAGGGCATGTTTTGAAATAGTTTTGCTGCTGTTAAACATGGACCCCTATGACTTAAATTCGTCAAGAATGTAAGCTGTTTTTGAATTCTGCGCTCACCTTGGAATTGTAACACGGGGTGAGTAACTGATACACAAATTATCGTGGGTGAGGTATGTCTTTAACGAATAAGAGAGAGTGAGGTGAGTCAGACAGTTTGAGTGAGAACGACCTCTTCAGAGTTTAGCATCATTTTAGCAGTAGCCTATTTCCTGTTTTGTTGAAGAAGGTATAAATTATTTTACTAATTAATAGATATGGACACTATATTAAGAAAAAAAAAGACTGTTTTTCCCCCGCCATTTCACCCCCCTGTAGCATATCCCCACTAATTGGAAGCACTATATTGTTTTGCAACCATGCTATTGCTATTGCTAAATCTTAACTTAGAATTGAATCATCCTAGGCTCAAAAAATGAAAATAACTGTTAAAGGATTCTCAGTGTTGCTGCTTCATACACACATTGCTTGAGGTGTGTGTACTTACAGTTCCCAGCAGATTGCTCAGAGCGATGTCAGCATATGCAGAGAGGAAGGCTGCGTGCAGAGGAGAAGAAATTAGGTTAAATATATCCTCAACACACTCACTCTGTTGCTGCTAGTGACGTATATACAGTAGTGGGTACAGAGGTTGGCTGCAGTCAGTCCTGACAGGAGACAGACTGGAAGCTTCAATTAGGACCAATTTACCTAATGGGAGTAGATTAACTCCCGGCCAAACAGATCAGCACTAATGCTCCTGGCGCTCCAGCTGCAATTTTACACGTGTTGTGAAATGGCTTTAATTTTGTCAGTTTATCTGTATTCATGAATCAGAGCTGAGGGAGACAGGAACGCCTATTAGAAATGGATCAATTATAGCAAGCTTTAGAGTGACAAAATGACAGGAATTATTAAACAATTACAGCCATTTGGGGCAGACAAACGTGGAGAAATTACAAATGAACATGAAGGAAATGCATGATGGTGAAGCAGTCTGATAAAGCTAATACGCTGCATTTAAGTATTTTAAGCTCAAGCTCATTTTTTTTGACTGTCTGTAGTCATTAATGCCTCCTGATTTACAAGATGAAACTCCTTACCTCCCTAGGAAGGCATGATTCAGCAAGGGAATGATTCAGCAGAGCAATTAGGTTTTGATTTAAGACCAGCAGTGCCTTACATTGAGATGACTCACGGCTCAGACAAATCACATAAACTGACAATGTGATGCCTTTCACACAAGCAGGTGACACTGTCAGAGTCCCATGTAACCCCATCTGGGTTCTACTGTTTAGGGACCAAGAAAAAGAGCCTTGTTTAATTGGCTGGAAAAATAATGTAATTGGAGATTGTCTCCAGAAATGTGTTTTGGTATGAGTTTCTTAGTTCTACAGACAGCAGTCATAACAATGGGGCCCATTCAGAAAACCCATTGACTCTGACACAAGGGTACAGGAAGTGGTAAAATGCAAACTAATTTCCAGGTTTTAGGACTCATTCCTGGGGCACTCTATTGAGTCCCATCATTAAGTGTATATAAAAAACAAGAAAAAAGGAAAAAAGTCACAGAAAACCTTAAAGGACTAAGGGTTACACTTGTAGGACTTTAAAGTGGTGTTAGCTTGAGCAGTCCTGTCCCATTATTGTCTATTTGATACACACTATATTGTATTTGTGTTGCCTCAGCACCATGGACAGAGACCATAAAAAAGGCTGCATTTGTTTCAGCACCATGGACAGATCACACTGGAGCAGCTTGTTGGATTCTGTCGACCCCAAGTGGCTGAAAACCATGATGACAGGAATAATGACAGAGGCAAAAAAAAGTTTACCTCACCTAAAGCAGATATTACTGCAAAATCTGGAAAATTATGTTCATGAGGTTCTCGTTTTTCTGCCAAAAACTATTTTAAAAAGCTGTTAAGTATACATCACAAAATTAAAATGAGTTCTAAATGATAGCCCGTTTTACTTTTAAGTATGACAAAATTATGGGGTGTCAAGAAAGATTGCAGTGAGCATTAAATGCAGTGTCTCTCAGTTATTCTAAAAGGATGAAGGATTCTTCTTACAAATGTGTGGCAACTATATTGTACAACATGCCATAACCAAAAGTAATACTGCACAAATCCTGAGTGAAACATAGGTTTTGATACAGGAAACAGCAATGTGTTGTCCATTCTTAAACTTACACCAGTGTACACAGCTAAACATTAAATTATAGACAATAGATAGCAAATGTGCGTGTGTGTGTGTGCATGTGTCACCACTGGCGATGGCAAAGAGGTGAGTCCTCCAGCTGAAGGTGAAGAAAAGCCCTCCGACAGCCATACAGCCCAGAGCTCCGTTAAACCCCGATAGACCTGAGTACAGGGACTCATGACGCACTGCCATGGATAACCCTGTCCCACACACACACACACACACACACACACACACACACACACACACACAGAAACAATGAGTCACTGCTTGGCAAGTTTGGGAATCACACAGGCAGAAAAACACAGACACACACTGATATTTGTCTGTTTAATATGCTGTACTACAATTATCCATGTGGTGGCGTTAGACACAAACTGATATATGGTTGCCTTCAAATCTTTATTAGCATGTAACCTAATAAGGAAATGTTGATCTGCCCTTTGTATTCCCACATATCTACAGAGAACTTGTGTAACAGTGTTTACAGGATATGATGCAGCACCGAGGAGGAGCTGAGATGTAATTTGTTTGCTTTGTCACTTGTATTAATGATTTTCCCACTTTGGAATTGACTGACTGTCTTCAGCCAGTAGTCATGTGATGGTGATGAGTAGGGCTAGGTAGGGGAAGTGCTGACAAAGGCTCTGCCTGTCTCCTCTCTAGTGAGCCTGAGTTATACTAAAATAAATGGTTTTACGTTCATTGAGTCTTTTACTGTAATGAACCTGTATGAGGAGTGAGGAAAGGAGACAAGAAAAAGGGAAAGTTTTGGTTGAGATCAATCACACAGGACTCTGAGAACATCTAAGGAGACTTATAATGATATTCATTTTCACAGTTCCTAAAATGTCCTTACAATATCAAATTCAGTACCAGTATGTTGTTTTTTGGTAGTACATTTTTCAGTGCTGATTCCATCATCAGGTCTCTGCGGTGCTGCTGCAGAGCAATGATGCGGTAGGTGGGTGAACAGCAGGTCAATGTCTCACATCCATACTAAACAAACACTTCACTGTGAAGCTGAAGCTATAGGCAGGCTGCACAGGGGGCGTGCTGACCCAAATAAATCTCAGCGAGGCCAGAGGCATTGACCTTTTCCCCACTGGCCTTCAGCAGCAGCTGCACCACGTCTCTCAACCCACATGTGAGGGAGAATAATGCTGTCATCAGAAAGAGTAAGGTCACTAAGTTCACCTGGAAAAGCCGGCAAGCTTCATTCAGAATCAGCCAACAGCTTTTCAAAACCAGGAGATAGCTTTGCTCTCTCTGGTTGAAGGTTTCAAGCGTGTTTCATCTCTGACCACACCCAGGATACCAGGTGGGTGGTGTCAGAAGTGTGCTCTGTTGCACCTATAACCACACCCAACAGTCATGTCACAGTGTACTGAAAGTACCCTCTCTTTCACCTCACTGAAGCAAGGTGAGAAGTTTTCAGGAGCTTAAGTTGCTCTTAAAACCTGAGTGGAAAGCACATTCAGAATATACATCTCAACTGGGTTTTTTACCACAGTTTGCGACACACAGCCTTGTGCCTGCTTTACATGAACCAACTCGCCAACTCGCATGCCCAAAAGAAAAGTCCACGTTTCTGGTTAGAAGGAGAAACACGCCCACTTTTAAACATTATTAAGGACTTGGATATCAACAGATTTTTGAATATGCACAAATATCACAATGTCAACATTCCTAAAAGGTGGTTGAAGGAATTAAAAAGGGAGGCTGTGTTTACACAGACCAACAAGTCCACCACTGGTAGGAAACTTTTAAAAAAACATATTTTGGTGCAAAGAAGCAAAATGGCAAAAGTGGCTCCAGCTGTTCCACTTTTCCATATTCTGCCGTGATAAATGACATGTTAGGGCATGTTAATTTGGAGTATGCATGGCTGCATGTAAATGGGAATATTGGAAGAATACTCATTTTCATCAGCCATGTAAACAGCTTAGTAGGAGTATTGTATTTCTTCAGAATAAGGGCAAAAACTGGAACGTTTGGAGCATGTGACTGTAGTCACTAACTTCAGCCTTAAAAATTACTAGTTGCCAAATTACCAGTGTCAAGAAAAATTGAAAACTGTAATACACAAAGATAACATGTGTTGCAGAGCTGTTGTATTGGATTGTATGCAATTGCACAGGTGTAGCGTTACCTAATAAACTGGTAAACCTGAATAGTTTGAATCAGCTTTGTCAGTTAGTTGCACTTTTGGGTATTTCTGTTTCTGCACACCAAGCCAGAGGGAACAATTCTGCATCTGTTTATGTGTGTGTGTGGAAAGCTTTAAGACTGCTTACTGACTGTTTCATTGATATATACAGTGCTTGTGTTTGTGGGAGCATGAACTCTACAGCAGAAGTTGTGTATTTTTACCTCCCTGAGTAAGAGCAATGTCATAAAAAATTACTGAGCGCTGTCTGACTGTGCAGAAGAGTGACCACCGGTTGGCTCACTGTATGCTGTAGCAGCACACGTGACACACGTGCACTACACTGAATGTGCTCCTGGGTGAGTGGGAAGGAATTATCCCCTGGTCAATAGCCTGGGTGCATTGTCATATCACAACTCAGTCTTTAGCATTGTCACGCTTTGTTCAGAAGAAGCCCTGTCAAACTCATTTATAACTCTAGCAGCCAAGCAGAAAATAAATGCCCACCTACGTTAAACAGAGACGAATGACTTAAATGACAACAGGATAAATGCTATCACTGATGAAGTTAGCCAAAGCTGCAGCTGCTCCACCCTGCATCTCTTCTCTATTAATGCTGCAGGATTCCAAAGAATTCATCCGCAATAACAGTAAATTTTGGAAGCTCCTCTGTAGAAAAATGACCCCTCAGGCTGCGCTGTGATTGATTTCCTTATTACCAGGCATGGTGGGCTGCAGTTTAGCAGTCTGGACCAGAAGCAGACTGACCACACCCCAGTATTGCCTCTTCACTCTGTGTCTGCTGGGCTACGCTGCCATCCGCTCCCTCTTTCCCTCACTCTCTGTTTATTTTGCCTCTTGCACAGCTCTTCATCAGCTCGCCTTAAAACGCTCGGGCTCCCTCTGCACTCATCTTGTCTCTTCCTCATTCCACACTCCATTATCTTCCTCTCTGTCTCCCTGTTCATTGTCACCATTCTCCTTTTGTTTCTCATACACAGTACTTCCCTCATTCCCTTCCTTGCTTCCTTCATTACACATTCTCACTCCACTTGTTCCCTCCCTACATAAGGGTGTCATTAAAGACTAATGGCAATGTGGGAGGGAGGCCCCAGAGGATACTAAAATTTTTACTGTTTTTCTAATGTGCGTGTGTCTCTATGTGTGTGTGTGTGTGTGAGTCACTCCCAGTGTTATATTGTCTATGCGAATAGATGAGTCAGAGAGCTCTTATCATATCAAACCCAATATCTCCTCTCCACCCTCTCCTCTTTTCCACTTGCTGCCTGCATCAAACCACAGTGACTGGCTGCAGACTAAATGGAGGACAGTGCAATAGGCTGAAATCAACTGCACATAATGCCTTGTTGTTTTCCAGTGCTAGTAGGTAATGGCTTGCTTTGCATTTGGGCCGTTGCTCTTCATGCAGCTGGTTGAATCCATCATTCTGTCCCTTGAAGCCTTGGAGGGGAAAACAGTTTGTGGATGCAGCTAAATGGATTGCTCTGTATGTGGGCTCATTTGTTAACACTGTCAAGATATCAGATGTTGTATATGCCTTTTTTCTACCATCCTCTGTCTCTGGAAATACAGCTATTGCTTCTGATGATGTAAAAAATAAGATAAACACAGACAGATAGGCCCCTGCGCACAGATATGCACGTTTTGTGTCCCTTTGTAGCCATTTTGTTTTTCCTTGTGGTTGTTTTTTGTCTCCTCGTAGTTGTTTGTTTTGCCCATGTCTCTTTGCAGTTCCATTTGTATCTCTGTGGTCTCTTTGTGTCACTTTTGTGTCACTTTTTGTGAGCCTTTCCTGGCTGGTATGTGTTAATTTGACATTGACATTTTGCAAGTGAAGGCCAGGGAGCCCCCTGACATTTCAAGCCTCTGGGCCTGTACCCAACAGGCCTCTTCAGTAATCAAACCATGGATACGCTATAATGAGCTGAGAATTTTATGTTTTACTCTCCCATGATTACTGTTAGATCAATTTTCTTATTTTAGAGGTTAAATACAGCATCTACAGCCATGTGAGTGTCTCTTTGAGGCTTTACTGAGGCAGCATGGTGTTTGAAGAAGTATTTCATTGCTGGAAAGATAATAAATCTATGTAGTATGTGCAGTAGGAAGACAAACCATTTGATCTCAGTATTTTTAGCTTTTGTTTTTACTGTACAGGAAACAGAATGACTCACACTTCCTGTTCACAAAAAATCTAGGTTTCTGAAAACCGACAAAATCAGCAGAATCTTGGTTTATATTTGCTGAGTGCTGCCTAGTTTTACAGTTTGATCAGATCCACTAGGGATTTGAGCTGAGAGATGAGCAGAGAGATCTGGGCATTTGTAAGATGGAGGGAAGTTTATACACAGTTTATTTATGCACACTATTCACATTGTTATGACACAAAGCTGCCTGCAAAATATACCTTAATGCTTAATGCTAATATCAGAACACTAACATGCTTGCAGTGACAACGTCAACATGCATTATGTTTAGCGGTTAATGTTTACCATGGTTACCATTTCAGTTTAGCATGTTAGCACGCTAACATTCGTTCCATTGTCTGACATTTGCCTTGTGGCCTGTTATGTAACACAGCAGGGTCTGGCACAAGACTGTAATTGTTATTGTGTTATGTTGTATTACGACATTGCCATGTAGTACAGGTCATAAATAATCAAAAAACAATGTCCTCCTAAACTCTGGGGCAGAAAGATTTCTTTACTTTTTCCTTTTTCCCATCTGATACTGCAGTATGACACATCAGAGATGGCAGATGTGAGATTTTCATTTGAAAAATACCTTTTATGTATGTACAGTTTCATTCACATCAGAAACATAAAGCTGCTAAAAGAACAGTGAACCCCGCTTGACTTCTTCAGCTGCCTCACTTTCTCCTCCCTCCTGTATTTGATTCCACTTCAAAGCATTTCTACAAAGGTGTGATGCATTTACTCGCTGAAAGAAAAAATGACCTGTTTTTCTGATTTAAAGGTCCAGTATGTGGGATTTAGAGGCATCTTGTGTGTGAGGTTACAGAACTTAAAC